ACATCTTAGTTAGCTGATCTGCAAAGACTTAGAATGGAAAGATGAGTAAAAGGCTCGTCAGAGCAGGGAAAGTCTTAGTGGAACGAAATCTATATGAGATCGTTAGTGTAGCAACCGAAAGTTGGATTCTAAACCATAACCCACTAGGCTGAGAGTGGATTCGTATTTTAGTCTAGTTGGGAAATCAACTCCGAATGCGATATGCAGGCTAACCCGTTATATATTACTTTCCTCGTATTGTGAGTATCGCGTTCCGCTTCTTAAGCGAGCTTAGGGTCTCGCCAAGGCCTGTCATGACCGCCTAACATCCGTGGTCACAGCTAAGCTGCTCTCATGGCGCCCAGCTCCAAAATCGGTTTGAAGCTTCGACGGAGTCCTGAGACCACTTATGCAATCTTGGTCGTGAAAGGACATTAGAATCTACCGTGTGCTGCTTTTCCATATTATCCAACTATTTGGATCTACTGTTGGACATGTCGCCCACTTCCCCTCGCAAGTCCCTCGGTGAATCGCTCAAACTTGGCAGTTCAGTAGGATGTTATCGGTTCCTAGGTAGGGATCCAGAAAGCCACCGTGTTTAACTCACCGGTAAGATCGATCTGGCCCACGTGACTATCTATACCTATTGCCCAAAACTATTAAGGTGTGGGTTTAAGAACGTGAGGGATTTTAAAGAGAGTACACGAGCATAGGGAGCTGGTCAAGGAAAATAGGCAGCTCTTTACTTTCCAATTTCAGCAATATGATCGACGATCCATGGCTCCAGCGTGGGGGCCAAAGTTAGAGCGGATTGTCCAATCTTTAGGCGCTGACGCTGATCGAAACGGTCGGGATCTGCCACAGCCGGGCTATGTTCGGTATATTAATTTCAGGATTTGTGGAAATTAGCCAAAGACATTCGTTGAGAAGCTCCTATTATCGCACTACCCCTACGCCATACCAGCAAGAGTTCAAAGCGAATACTTTGGGTTTATCCATCGTTTGGTTGTACCCTGAGAAAAATACTTGGCCGCTAGTGCGTAGCGGGGCAAATTTCGAGATCCCAAATACGCTAAATCATCAATGGCTCGCGTGCCTGGAGACTGACTGGAATTATCCTGACCCCCTGGAGTATGTAACTATATGGTTTATACCAGATATATCAGGCATGGGTCTATCAGCGCAGATCCTTCCATCATGAGTCTAAGTCATCCAGAGATTTCTCTCATTTATATAGAATTTCTCTCTCAATGAGAGAGAGATCAGATGTAAACAATCTCAGCATCTTGACGTATACGGTTCCCAGGTTATCATACACCTAGTTTTTGACACCTGTAATTGACTTGCGTTTTTATAAGCAATATATACTTGCAAACCCAAGTATTCTATCTCATTTCAAGGATAATTCTCGCATGACGTATTGGCTGTATTCACCCTTCCGATTCGCTCCTACTTCATGGAGTGCCTTAGCCGAGAATTGACCAGATAAGAGCCATTTCTAAGGTGGAAAAATTTCTCCGAATATTCAATAGAATGTGAGTTGTGATCGGACCTGACGACTAAAGGCACTAGCAAATCTGCTAGATAGCTGTCTCTGCAATCAGACAGGATTATCACGCGGAGATTGGAGCTGGACTAGCTTTGCTCGCCGATTCATTTATCCATTTGAAACTGCGAGACTCTTCGCCGTTTGTTTGTTCCATGGTATGGAGCTGGTTCACCTGAAGTGAGGTTAGGTTGGCCTGCAACTCCAGGGTCCCGAGATCGTGTTGGCGACCAATGGGCGGAGATCCATCCAGATTGCATGCTATGTGGTCGGGCCCACCCATGCTTGCGTCACGAGGTGACACCAGCTCAGATGGAAGGCCATAGATCGCCAGCCGTTCATTGAGAGAGATCATCGCATAATACCTTGTGGAATGATCCAAAGCGGCAAAGACACACCATCGGCGCGCCTGGACAACAAATTGCTGACGACACCCACATGCCGCGGATTCCATCCCACTCGGTACTGTCTGGCACTTCAGCTTTCGATTTCCTTTACGCGCAGGGATGGTAAACTGGGGAACTTACCTGCGTCCGAGTGGAGAAGCTCCGATCTGGCGATGAAACACTCTTCTGCATGGAGGACGACTCGGGACTCTGGCCCACCTCCACCAAGTTTTCGAAACGACTCTGCCTCATTGTCTTCCCAGGTGACCAGAAGGCCTCCGGATTGGGGTCTGAGTTTGATGCTATGCGGCAGAACTCGAAGCAGGCGTCTGATCTGACGCATGTATTTCATCTCAGTCATCCGCAGCGTCGAGGATGCTTTGAAGATCGAAGAAATGGACAGGTACAAGAGCTCCTCTACGACATGACTGCAGAAAAACGGCGCATTCTTTTCGGTTATGGCAGCAGGAAACCATTTCCGACACGATGCTTCCTGGTGCGTCGCATCAAAGTCCAACCATCGATGATGAATTTTCAGCGTACCGTGTCCGGCGTCGTATAACACATCAAGCTTCCCTGTCAGTCCTTTGACATAGACTACTTTGATATGTTTGGTCGCCTTCAAAAGTGCCAGACAAGCCTTCAAAGCCCAGTCTGTTGTTTTTGCAAAGGCAGATTCGGGCGTAGCACAAATCTCAGCATCCTTGAAAAGCTCTATTTGCTCCTCCTTGACGGTCCGGATCGGTGTACCTGAGCGCAGCAGGTTCCAGAGGGCCTCTGGAACTCTCGTTGGCCTCTTCCCGGTAGTTTCTCGTATCATGCCTACACTCTGTTCGAGGTTAGTATATTGCATATCCAGCTTGAACATCTCACCGTGAACTGACTTGGACGCTTGATGTCTCGCTATAAAAGAATCGCTTTCTTCTCGTCACATGAAGCAAGTATTCCCAGATACGGGCCGTGGTAGACGGTTCCAAAAGTCTATCGGCTTGTTCAATATCGCCCGCCTGGGGGAAGTTCTGAAGGAGATTGACATAAATTGGAAGTAAACTATGCTCGTGCATGTGCAGGGCACACTGCCATATTTGCCGCACCTGATCTGCCACCTCACACTTGGCGACCATTCCTTGTCGATCACGGCTGAACTTACCCAGAGCAAAGTTGTAACCAAACTTGTAGCGCTTGACCCCTGAAGTAGTCATTGGTAGCAGGATCCCATGAAGGAAAAGCTTTCCGTGGAACTGCGAATCAAGAAGCAAGTCTCCTCGGGGCGTTTCTACAATCGATGGGGGATAGGAGAGCCCGCGAATATCGAGAGTGACTCGCAGCCACCAGAAGAATGTTTCAGACGATACCGGTCGATTTTGATTGGCACGTCCAGCCCCAATCATTACCGTGATGTCTCTTTCATCCTGGAACCGCAACTTTGCCATATCATCAGCTGGGTCTCGTTGAATGGCTGGACTCATCTTTCTGGAAGGAGTGATGACACAACGGAGAGACTGGGACGTCCCATGCAGACCAAAACTCCACCTACAGTGGCTTGCAGCCACGCTCATTTTATATCCGTCTCGACTCATTATTAACGCAGCCAGCTTGAGCCCGTCACCGTGGGAGCCTGCCAGCTGGTCTTGCTCGTCCTTGGATGTGAACCCCATCACGAGAGACTCCACGGGAAGTTGCATGCAGGAATTGGTCAAGGTGACTCGACCGGTCTTTTTCTCATATTTTATGTACCCCAGAGCTCGCCGATCGCCGTTGTCATTCGAGGTAGTCGGGACTGTGATGGAGAAATAGTCTTTCTTGTCTTCATAGAATGGCTTGAAATCCAATCGGTTCAGCTGAAATCTTCCTAGAATAGCATCTTTCCTATTCTGTCTCAGTGTTTATCCAATAGAAGAGAATGTCACATACCAATTTTGGTACAGCTCGCGAAATGCATCTGCAGAGTCCCAGCCTTTCACATAGGCAGGTGAAATCCCAACTGGGATAGTTTGCCGTGACGGCTCAGTCGCTGTGTGAGTGGCTCCTTCGCTTTGTTGTAATTCACGATCCAGCTGCAGATTCGCTTCGTCGCTCGTGCTTGTACAACTATCTTGATCCATGGGATCCTCATCGGTGTGATTACTCATCGTTAGGTACGCATTTGGAGCACTGCAGCAGAATGAATTATTGGCTTTTTGTGTCTCTGGGTCGTACGCCTGTTATTTATACGGCGCCCGAGCTTTCCTCTAAGACATCCTCCCTGAAATCGTTGATTGCGGTGAGCAAAGACAGTGACATCCTCATTAATAATTTCATGAGGGAAAGTTTAAACTTGATATATCTTGATATATCAAAAATGTGACAATAAACAGGTTTGCATCCATGACTTACCAGACCTTTACGAATGACCAAACGGTGATGTTGAAGATCTTTACGGTTGACTAGCTAGGTCATATCCGGCAAACTCGACATTCAACGTTGAATACCCGGCATGTGAACCATGAAGGGCCACCGTGGCTCCGCATTTATATTAGCGTGCCAACTGTTGAGTTGAGTTCAGACACAATGCCGAAGTCAGCATGTCCAAAGATGAGGTATGCAACCCGTTGGACCTTAGAAACCTGCCTGTGGTTTCAATCAAGCATGCGTGAACGGTAGTCAACGGTGAAATGAGGTCATCAATGAACCGGGAAAACGTTGAAACATGCTCGATTATCTTTGAGGTTGACAGATCGTGAGAAAGCTGAAGATGGGCTTGCCTTCCAGATAAGACAAATCTCCGTTCAAAATACGCTTTAGACCGCGCGTGGTTGGCGTTTTGGAAATACCAGGACGTATACCCCGTGAATAAGGATAAGGTATGCGGGTATATTTCAGCTGGTGTTCACTGATGAGGCCAGTCTAGGTAGCCCGAAACGACTTTGTCAACGTATACCGAGCATTTTGGAACCAGTGACTGAAAACCAGCACAAACCGCCCGCCAAGGGTGTTTATGCCTGAGGCACCAGATAAGTAAGCCGGTAAACATCCCCGTGACGGTTGGTTCTCCCAAGGCAGACGATAGCGTACTCGGAAGCATTCGTCGACCGAAGGCAGCGGCAGTGATGAAGAACCGAATTCGCCATCCATCGCAGCAGCGGCGCGCAGCCGGTCGAGCCGCGACCGAGGTAACAACCGTCAATCGACCAAGGAAAGCGAAAAAGCACACGAGCCGGTCGAGACAACAAACAGACCTCTCGGAAAGACGGACAGGCTACACAATCTTCTGCACAATTGCCTGCACCCGCGGCATGGTGAACCGAGACTCTGGATAAAGAATGCCCCAACTGGAAACTCCACGGTAGCCAGAGACACTCGATGTGACCGCAGGAATTCGCACGCCGGCTTCACCGTCAACTTGCCCGAAACCGAAACCATGGGTTTGAACAACTCCACGTCTGTGGTCGGACCAGTTACCTCATCAAAGCCACTCTTCTATTACACGGATACACTGTGATAATCAAGGCTACCACGGCGGACAAGCAGCATCTCATTCAAGCAGAGGCAGACAATTATGGTTATCTCAGGAGCCTGCAGGGAAAGCACATCCCCGTCTGTCTTGGGGCATTTACGCCACGAGTCTCATGTTGGTACCACGGCGAACTAATGGAGCAGATGATGATCCTAAGCTGGTCAGGAAGCAGGCTTCAGCACGTCATCAACGATGACAACTCGAGTTTCTTCCACAAGGAGCGCGCGAAGGCCCTGGCTGTGCTCCGCTCACACGGGGTGGTCCATGGCGACAGTGAGTGGCGTAATATGTTGTGGGATGACATGGGCGGTCGTTTGATTGTCATTGACTTGGAGGACATGAAATGGTTGAAGCGCCCTCGGGCACTTGAACCAACCTCTGGCAACACGCGGCATGGTCATCGCGTCGGGGAAGAGAAAAGCAGACAAAGGCTCCTATCCAGCTCAACTGCTGTATGCACATGACGGCCCCTAGGCTCATGGTCATTTACATCTGCACCTTCAGATTACATCATTTGTTCGTGATGTCCATAGGGAAGAAAGTACAGTGTCGATGGAGCTGGCGCCTTGGTTTCGCTTGGAAATTCACAGATCGAATCAGGAAATCAAGGGGCCTTGGGAATCATTTACAAAGTCTTTCGAGATATGAAGGTCCTTTGGAATGAAAAGCTCGAACGGGCAACAGTCATCGACTTTTACCCCTCTAGAAAATCGAATTTTGACCAGCTCCAAAGACCACGAGCAAAGAGACAACTGCTGCAAACGGAAAACCCAAGGGTCTGCTGTGCCTGTTTTCCTGGGCACGATCGACTTGGCCGAAATATATTTTCTTTATGGAGCTGGAGAGATTCGTCATATGCTCATGATGGGCTGGCCGGGTGGGAGGGTGGGGGAAGTACAGCATTGATGGACTTGACGCCTTGGCTCCACCAGGAGATTCGCAAATCAACAAAGGAATCACTCACGAAGATTTTCGGCGTGACAATTTTCTTTGGAATAAAGAACTTGGCCGGGCATTGATCATCGACTTTCACTGGTATATATTGAAATGTCGACCGACTTTGCAGCGATCACGAGCGGTACAACGACAACTATGTCAACCAGAGATGGGAGATCCAAAACGTCTTTGTGTAACGCGAAGCAATGTGCTTAGTTTTTGGATTAGCAATTCAAGTATGCATGATAATGAAGCATGAAGCACTTCTAGTCCGCATCCTCGTGAATAAACCAGAACTTCGACCTATTATCGATCCTTGATGCCCGCTTTTTCACTTCACCTACATTGCCTCAAGAGTAACCCCGCTTCTATATGCGTTGACAATGACAAACTGATCGTCCAATTCTGGCTCTCGTACTTGACTTTTGTGTGAGATGATGAATCATATTAAAACGTTGATTCCACTATGAAGCTTCAGTAACGATATATTGGACTGTCGTGTACAGTACTAATCGAACATATTGCAATGAGAGATCGACTGCTCGACAACCTTGAGGAACGAGATAATCCACGGATCTTTCCCAGGTAGGTACTAGACATACATTCCATCAACAGGTCTCTTTTTGCCAAACTCCCTTGAAAACTTCTTATTAGAATCGGCTGCTAACTCCAATTATTTGTAGGTCACCTGATTGACGTCAGCCTCAGCGAGAGCATGTGCGATTGCTGCGATGTTCTTGATCTAGATCATGTTAGTCAACAAGTGAGAAGTGCACAGCAGCTCTCTGGAACCCCACCTCTCGTCCATTTAGAGTTAAAGTCTCCAATCGTCGGAGCTCGTACTCCTCAACGAGGGCAGGTCCTTGCATCGTACATGCCTTGGACAAAAAGATTGACCAAAGATCTCTGCGAAACTCTCTCGTCAAATTTTCATACTCGATGGTCAAATGGATCCGGCTTAGAATTGCGTCATCAAACTGGATACCCCGATTTGACGTCAAGAAAAGAATTCCTTGATAATATTCCAGCTTTCGGAGGAAAATGGTCACAAGGCGATTGTGGGTATCGTGGTATGAGGTACGCTGCTCCATGAAAGCGTCTGCCTCATCCAAGAGAAGGACGGCATCAAAATGTTTCGCGATCTTAAATACTGTTTCAAGTTGCTGCTCGAGCGCGTTGGTATCTCCGTGGTCTACAACAAGTTCGCCTGCGGATATCTGAAAAAATCAGTGACGCCAAAATCAGCCGAGCTGGATAGTTCATACCGAATAGAGGGGGAGCTTGAAATACTCCGAGGTTGCCTCAACCGTGAAAGTCTTTCCGACTCCCGGTGGGCCACTAGCACGAGTTAGTTGGAAGTCTTGATAGTATAGGCGCTTCGCCGACATACTTCAGAAGAATGTTGAATCCTTGGCCCTTTCCGTCAACTACGTCGTCGAACGGTACCATCGGTATCATCCCTAGGCGGGTTTTTGCCAATGACAAGAGGATGGTCTTGGTCTCTAAAGGGATCTTCAAGCAGTCGAACGACTCAGGTGACCAATCCACGTCTTCAAGAGCACTGACCGCGCACTCCACTGAAATCACATTAGTCGGACGCCAAACATTGTCAGTAGACTTACATACAGAAAATCTTCTCCTTGAAGCTGAAACAGCATACTGTTGGGCAGGCGACCAAGAAATCGGTCTCGCTCAGTTTTTGTGCATCCACTCCGTCTCCTTGCATTCTCTCCTTCTCCCGCTCGCGATCCTCCTTGAGCATCGCACCTATGTTAATAACTGCAATTCCATCCTTTTCCTTGACCGCTAGGTCGCGGAGTGAAGGTCGGGAGTAGTTTGGCTGCATTTCATGAAAAAATGCGGCGTCCACTCCCACTCGACTGTTGACGTTGACTTTGATAGCCTTCCCTTGTTCATAAAGAACGCGTTGCCTCTACAGTGCCGAATGTGTGAGCCGGCCAAATCGCGAAACTTTTCGCCTCTTTCGACCAAATCTTTCCGGACTTGCCCGTGCCTTGGATGGTAGCGGAGAGGGAAGGCCTCAAGGCTCTCGATCGGCTTTGACCCCCGGAACTTTGCCAGACGCAGAAACATTCCGGCCTCGCCGAACTTGACTCCGTCATAATCAAAGAATCGGCACTCGAGATTCCACCACGTCTCGTCATTTTGTGTCATCTCTTCCCCCGCGTCGAATCTGACACATCGCGGCTCTTTTGTGCCAATGCATGTGGTATAAACATGGCAACCAGGCTTGAAAAGCGCCCAAAGAAGGTCATATGTAATATGACCGTACTGCAGCATTGATTCGAGACGCTGCAAAGTAGAAGTATGTGCATGCTTGAGGTGGTCGATGAGCAGGCGGAGATGCTCCGCATGTGCCGAGTCATGGTCCGAGCTGTTGTCCATGTTCTCCGCACATCTGTCGAGCTCTGGGAGGAAATGGAAAAGGAAATTTTGCTCGATCTAAATCCACGTCAGTGTGCTCCTTGATGATAATACTGTCTCAATTACCGATGGCTTGTCCTCCATCAGGCTAACGGCCTTGATGTCGTGCAGCACGTCTCGCAGGATGTCGCGTAGGCCTTCCGACTTGATGTCTATGAATGGCACTACCTCCTTGGACGTCCGGTCTGATCATACTATTAGTAGGTTTTCGGTCCGGCATGCAAAGGTGTCACGTACCAACACGTTCACGGACAACAAATGCATACTCAGCATAGTCGTCCAGGTCATTGCTAGTCTCCGTTGGCTCGGCAATCTTGTATTTACATGCCTCTTTGTCCCAGCTAGACCCGTGTCAGCTATCTGAAAAAGTGGAAAGGGTGGTTGGCTGGTGGCTCATACGTTTCCACAATTGTTTTGAATTGGGATTTTGATGCCCATTTCTCAAAAGACTTGAAATCATCCGGTGTAGTACAGATCGGAATTTCGAGATCAATCTCATCTGCCGCCTGAGCGTTCTCTGCCTGCTCATCGCTGGAAAAGCAAGGCTGAGAAGGCTCAGAAGGCTCATTTGCCACGGGAGGCTCAGCTGAAGAATATCCTTTGCGGATGACCTTCACTAACAACTGCTTCAGTTGAACCATATCGGGGCCTGGTTGGGAATGGTCCTGGAAGACAGGAGTGTTTGGAGGTTCTCGGTTGGTAAGACTGAGCAGCACACTTTCAAAGAGATACTTCAGATCCTCCACGGTATCTCGAGGCGTGGTCGATTCCTTCGTTGGGCTATCCGGCGGCGTCATGCCTTGGTGACAGGGAGACGAAGTCTTTTTCGATGCCATGTGCTCTGAAAGCAATCTTGGGCTGCTTTGAACAGGTGCCATGCTGTTTGATGGAATTTGTTTGTACGATGGAGAAGAAAGATTGAATCAGCACGGTAAAAGCTGATGTGAATGTAAACGAAGAACTCAATAAGGCCGAGAGGTTCCTCCCATTTTATATCTTCGTCGCCCACCCCTGCCCCATGTGAAACCCTTTAACAAAAGTACGCCGCAGATCGCATGAAGTTGGATGAACGGTCTTGAAGGGATTATTGAGTTGTGCTTGTGGGAGCAAGCCTATCTCTGCCTTCTGGGACGGCTAAGGTGGATAGGTACAAAGAATCTGCATGTCTAGTTTCGAGAATGCATGCCTTCAAGACTATGACGTAAGAAAGAGATGCGAAATATCGTCGAACATTCAGCGATATTTCGACGATATTTCGATGAATTTATGCAGTTTAATCTTATCTCGGATTGATATGTCAGAGCAAATAATTTTACAGAGATTTGGGAAAATTATTCCAAGGATTCGAATTTTATTGTTCTTATTATGTTGATCTTGAAGATGGCGAAAACTTTTGGTCTTTAAGCTCAAAGATTATTGCCATTGTTGCTTGATCAGGTCTTGACAGGAGACCAGCGCCCAACCCTTCGGGCAAAGACGTTTGTCACGTGATAACATAAAGGCGGATTTCTTCCTGCCCCTCACCTGCCACTCATCTATTTACCAGCGCATTACAACGACTGTTGCTTGACTCAAAGGTGATACAGCCCCAAATGACTGTGGTCATTAACCCTTGACGGAAAATTCGTGTTACTTGAAAGGAAATAACTCAAAAAGCAACGTCGTTGGTGATTATCCTTAATCTCATCGGACTAAGCGGCGACGTAAGTCAAGCGCGTTCACTTCTCATCTGGCGTACGTGTAATGTATTCTAATATTCATTCTTCCCGGCAAGTTTGGATTCCACCAGAAAAGCGCACACAGAGACCAGTACCATGGATAAGGCAGCCAAAAAAGTTCGCACCGAAAGCTCATCAGACAGCGGGATTCTCGAAGAATGCAAGAAAGAAGTGAGAATGATATGTTAGATGTTCATCTGTGAGAAGAATACTAATTACCCCAGGTAACATGTGACTTATGCGATCGAATAAACTGGACGACTCCATCAAAAGGTGTTCAGACTACCCCTCCACCGAGAACGGTTGCAATTGTCGTGGATGTTGTTCAGAACAGAGGCGCTATACGGATTTTCGAGAAAGAAAGCGGTGAATACGTCGACGGAGTTGGAACCGAGGAGGAAGGCTTTCGGATCATCATTCCATGGAGAGACACTTGGCGCTTCAGAGCATCGGGCGTCGTTGAAGTTGGGTATATAATAGCAAATGAGGCAGATTAGTTTGGCGGCTGGTTCCATGTTGCCAATGGACGGTGTAAGATTAATCGATCCGTCAGCTCGTTACTGACTGGAATTGTAACAAAAGATGTCGTATTCACTCCATACGTGTCTGTGAGCCATACTGCGCCTGATATCTGGCCCGATTCTATGATATCTCGAATATCTTGCACGTTGAGCTCGTATACATCTCCGGTCAAAGGGTCTTTAGGTCGATTTAGCCAGTAATCATCCACTTTGTGCCAAGGCCATACCTATGTCTTGCCGCTTCCCGGGTTGAAATGTCAACAAATCCGGCGACGTGACTACCGCAGGTGGCCCTTCACCATGTTAGCTAGCAGCGTGGCCCACAAGATTTAGATGTCATACTAAAGATCGGTTGAATGATTTGGTAGCTTCCTTGACCCCGCTCCTGATGCTCGAGAGCGTCGTGAGTCTCGGAGACTTGGTTCACCGTTCCATCATCGGCTTGTAAGGGAGCCTGGGGAGCCTCTGGGTAGAGAGAAAAACTGATATACTGACGTGCAAGCCATCGGAGCACAGGGTTGTCAAGGCCAGAGTGATTTTGGATCTCATATGGAAGATCAAGTCGTATACTCTCCTTTGCGATGGCAATTGTCGACAGACCCAAGCCAATAGCACAAAGAACGACCATGGGTGGGCCGTTCAGCTGTAGAACCTTGCGGAGGAAGTCGAGATAAGTTGACTGTCGACCTGCTCCGATAGAGTCCTGGGGTGGGTACCCATTCCTCAGTAATGTGGCGGCTGCCTTAATTCTTTTCCTTTCTTTTTCTTTCACGCCGTTCCGACGCTCAACATCTCTTGAAGCCTGGATAAGCTGCTCTATGGCACTAGTAAGAGACAGAACCATGCTTCAGAACATGCAAGTGAAATTTTCGTCGAAAAGGAGCTAAGAACGCGTCGATGAAAAGCGCTAAATACCACAAATCAACGTCGAAAATCTGTCGAAAATGTGTCGAAATGGAGACGAAAGACCGCATTTTATAGCCTTCTCCATTATTAAAGTGGGTTGCAGGGCTGTGCTCTTGTGGATTGATGGGACACTAGCGACTGCGTGCAGCTTTCAGCAATCTCAGGACGGTGTCGTATGCAAAGCCGTACTCGTCATTGGCTGATGCTCTTTGCTGTGTCAGCCTAGACACGCTGAGGTCCAAAAAAGTGGGGCAGTCGTCCAATCTCCGGCTTTAGTGAAAAGATTACGCAACCTTAGTCTACCAATCCCACACGTGCGAGGAATACCCCTCAAACTCATATTTCGGCCACGTTAAGAGAAGATAGGATGGCGCGAGGTGCCAAAATTGGATCTGCTCTCCCACCGACGTAGCCGCTGGTCTAGATTGTGGGCCAGGCACTGAGAAAGGGCTGGCCCTGAGCCGCTCATTCACTAATGCATAGTGGTCACCTCAAAGCACTGGAGCCTCTTTCACTACCTCAGCCAATCACGGCACTATTGATAGGTGCCGCAGAGGCACGTACTATGGGGGACCGAGCCATTGTGCTGCATGTATATGATGCGCAATAGGGCTCCAAGTGATGACAGCGTTTTGGCTGTCAACTCAATGGGTATCCGGTGTGTTTCTCATGTGCACGACTCAGCCTCGCTCTAATGCATGAACTTTCACATCGTTATTTTGCCGGCGGCTACGTTGGTTGGCGACTCACCCCAAGCTGCAGCTCTGCTTGGTCCGGCTCTGGCCAGCCATATCAGCCTTTGTCCCCTGACGCAACTGAGAGCCAGTAGCCTAGCAGCGAGTAACTGCAGTGGCCCTCATCTAAAAATAACTACTACGTAGATCAAACCAAATCATTGTTTAGTGCTTATGCTTAGTTGGCGACAAGCACTCCTCCACTTGTATATCAGAGTTACGCGCTCAAATTACTTGGCTAGTCTCAGGGTATGTTTGCGCCCCTACCTAGCTCCACGACGCCAATTTGGATTGACAGGTTAACAAGTATGCAAAAAATTTTGGGATTGGTTATAAATACGCCTCTGCTGGGCCTCCATATTGTGAAAATTATCATCTTTGTCTTTCCAAGATTTCATTTATCCTCTTCCAAGGCCCTCTTTGAGTTTTCCTATTCTCTACGTTTCGAAAATGTCCAAAGCAATTAAGGAACTCGGAGAGCAGCTCTTCACTACAAAGCTTTATACAAAGCTCTTCCAAACACAAACCCCAGGAAAGCGCATTGCACCTCCCCAGGCCAACGACAACAAAACAAAGGCTCCATTGCGTCTCGACGCCGGCGAAGTTATTGGTGATTGGAAGAACGTCTATTTGCAAGTCAACAGCCAAGCCCAGAATGAAGCGCTAGCCAAATTCCGAAAGAAGAATGGGACCGATGCCAAGTTGGCAAGCGGTAAGATTAATGTGAAAACTTCAGAGAAAGAGCAGGAAGAAGCCGCTAAAGCGTTGTGGAATGCATTGGCGAGCGATGCAAAAAAGAAGCTGGGCTAAGTCCAAAAACATCGTATGTTTGACAATTACCCCCTCTGAATTTTCAAAGCTGACTTCAAAGACCACGATCCTTGCCACTGAGCGTCGATAGCCCGAGAATTATGAAGAAAGATGGATGCCCTACTCCCACAGGCATATAAAATATCCGTGGACAAAAGGGTAAATAGTGCTTTGTCAAGATGATTGCTGTGATCAATGTGTATATTACATTTTACCACCAAGAAATAGCCTTGAGTCAGCTTTGAAGCCAGGAGGAACTGCTATCCCATCATGAATATCATATTTCGAGATTTGCTGTTACTTAAACTGATAGAGTCATCTGTGTCGGAGATAGTATTACCGGCGCTTATCGATATGCTTGACCGTCTTTGTAGATATCTTGCATGCGACCCGGGTTGCAGTAGTCGTGCACTTGAGCAACCGGGACGGAAAAAAGGGCATGAGGCCAATCAAAACACATATGCTCTTCGCATACCATGGACCTAACAACGCGCTGCCTGGTATCGACATGACATGTAATATGTAATAGAAATTTTCATATGTTAAGCCCGTTCTAGATAATTTAGTGCATTCTCTTGACGTTGCATGCGACCAGAGATTATGAGCCTGATGGCCTTGAGTAGAATCAATGACGGTTCATACGGCGGGTCATTGATCAGCAGACAATTCCGAGGCGGCTTTTGTTTTCGTACATCGGCAGATGGCCATAGAGACAGCCTCCTGTTAAATCCTCTTCGGCTGGACAAGCTATTGCTAGAATCGCAAAAATCAAGGATAGCCAAGAGAGAGACGCCATATTAGGGTTGCGACAGAATATCCATTGTGCTTAGAGTGAGTAATTTCTGAAACTGCATGAATTCATGACAATTCTCAACAGAAAAAATTTGAATGTCCAAGGTTCCAAGGTTCTGGAATTATGGGTGCGCAACACGAAAAGATCCCTTTCCTTTTATTGGAAATGTTGTTTCAAAATAGCAAGCGCATTGGTTTCACACTGTCAGCAACCACGGAAAATAACTGGCTTTTAGTCACCGTTGCGATAGCAGGTCTAGCTGACCCAATTTTTATTTATAGCTACTATATGATCTCAGAGTTGTAGGCGTGGACCCGTGGTGGATGGACCCTTGTGGTGGACGCTAAGACTGCTGACTCATCTACCATACCGCCCGAAGTGTCTCATGAGTTCCCTGCCGGCATTCCTTCTATCACCTCTTTCTATTACGTGTGTGTTGAACACTTGCTCTCAAAATGCTACGAGCGCTCAGAAATTTTACTACACATCGATATGGCAGACCTGGATCGTCTTTATCGATAACATGTCGAGGTAAGAAGGGAAAGGGGTTTGGTGCAAAGGCAGCTGCTTTCAGTTTCTGATTGTTCAAATAGGTGCATCCATTACACAGGAGGAGCTTTTCGCTTACACCAATGGCCATTTTCTTGCCAACGAAGAATACCAGCTAAACAGAAGATATGTCCGATTCGATGTGGATGAGCTTTGCAATACTACTGCAACAGTCGGCGGAAAGTTCAGTCAGGTCACAGCTATTGACAAAATGGAAGGAGGTTTCAGCAAGGCTTTCTTGATGAGAAAGGAAAATGGATCCGAAGTGATAGCAAAAATTCCATGCCACATTGCTGGCCCGCCCACCTTAACGACAGCTGGTGAAGTCGGCGCTCTCGAATACAGTACGTTATATTGGTATAATTCTACTTCCAGTGGCTAATATCCTATAAAACAGTCAGAAAACACACTAGCATCCCTGTCCCTCGTGTTCTTGCCTGGTCTTCGAACAACTCGAATGCTGTCGGTGCAGAATATATCATCATGGAGAAAGCCGCCGGTGTTCCATTGTTTCAAGTTTGGGGTAGTATGGCCGAATTTGATCAGCTACAGTTAATCAGAAACTTGACCCAGATCGAGGCTCAATTATCAGCTATTCATTTCCCTGCTTATGGAGGACTGTATCTTCGAACGGATATAGAGCAACCAAACAAGCCCCTTGATGATGAACTTGATCCATCTTTCTGTATTGGACCTTCTTGTGATCGAGGATATAATCCTGATCCAAGTCTGGACTTTGATAAAGGACCTTGTGAGTCCCCTGCGTATTTTGACAGTTTATATACTAACTGTTCATAGGGTATTCAATTTCAACCCTCGGGGTTTCTATTGCAAAGCGCGAAATGCTACGAATATCAAAGAACGGCCAGCAAGATCAAGCACTCTTTTATAAAGGAGATATCGAAGAACAAACTGAACTCTTACAAGCAACAGAGAGTGTCATGGAACTTTTAGACTCGAACGAAATATTGAAAGGGGAAGCTTCCCAGCCTATTCTATGGCATACCGATCTTCATATGGGAAACATTTTCGTCGCCTCTGACGAGTGTTCAAGAATAGTATCCCTCATCGACCTCCAGTCGATTTCTGTTCTCCCAGCATTTCTCCAGGCCCAATGGCCAGTCTTTCTCAAACCCCCGCAGAACTACGATTACGAGAAGGGGATATTTGAGGTGAAACTGCGCGATGATTTCGATACCCTAGATGAGGATGGCAAGATGCTTGCAATGCGCGAATGGTCCCAAGTAAAGTTGGCAAAGGCCTATGAGATCTCAACCTTGCTTGAGGATAAACCAGCGCATAGGGCCATGAACGTACCCCGTGTCTTCCGAGAGTTATTCCTTCGATGCGGGGAAGTCTCCGAAATTGGCGTTCTCCCGCTTCGTGCGTGCTTGATAGAACTCTTTCAGAATTGGTCGGACCTTGGATTTTCTGGAGAATGCCCTTTATCCTTTACGCAGGAGCAGGTCGATACGCACGATCGCCAATTCTCTGAGTATCAAGCTTGGTATAAGATTCAGGCTCTTGCGCAAGAATGCCTTGACACTGATGCGGAAGGATGGGTCGCACCAGGATTGGATGTGAATGAGAAGAGGACGCAGAATGAGGAATTGTTGACTATGTACATTGAAAGCGTTGCTGGGCAGAAATCCGCAGAAGAGGCGAGAGCCATATGGCCTTTCCCGGTCAAGGCAGGAGTATGATTTGAGCATTTTGTTATGCTGGTTTGACAGATGAATAGAAAGAATTCTGGAGGCTGTCATGATATTTTTCACCTCCATAGGAAAACCGGAGGACCAGCTGACTTAGTCCATAGCAAACAACGACTACCGTCCCTCTCAACCACCCACCACCTTAACTTTACACCGCGCAAATCCTGGAGCCAATGTATGAAACCGAATCTGCGCAGATCTCCTGAATGAAAATAAGGGAAACGGGTTTAGATCACACTTAAATCTTCGTAGACAGGGCAGTCCTCCACATGGAAAGTACTCTTGGTCACTTTCAATGCGTTGTCATCTAAGTGAAGGCGGTTTGTGGGTGATTGCCTGAGGGTTTGAGACTCTTCTGGATCCTCGCGGGCTGCAATCTGGTCAGCGCAAGGATAGACGTCAGGTCAACGGTTGCACCCTCGTCTGCTGGCACAAGAAAGCTTCCATCGATTAAATTCTCCCAGAACTCTGGTGTAGGCATGATCTCAGTGTCGGCAACAGAACCAGGCTGCTCCGTCTCATCATAGCCACAATCCTCGTCAACGTGAATCACGATATGGTTAGATGCCGAGTCCAAAGGAGCAGGATCATCTCTAATCGCTATGGGATTGGCCTCTGTGCCTGACTCAGGAGAATCGATGAATTCGCGTATTGACCACTGCAGGCCACTCTGAAGGCTCAGCTGGGATTGATGTTTAAGATCGTTTCTTCCCAGATTCTGCAAATTACATGGTTGTTCCCTTTGATTCACATGCAGCTGGACTGGCGACCAGGAACCGCCGTTCCCTTTGCATTGTGTCGTCTGAATTGAAGAGGTGAATCTTGATTCAGAGAGTGGGAGCACCCCAAGAGACATCTGTCCGGACATGTTGCGATGCCGGTGGTATTTTCCGTTGTTTAGGTCTGCTCACCACCTGGAAAGGCGCGATCGTCGAGGACTGCGAGATCGATTGTTGCAGTGATTGGAAGATCTCCAGTCTGGGTAGGGTTTCTAGAATCGACAGCTTGAGGGTGGTGCTGACCAGCAACAACGGCAGGCTCCAAGTCGCACGATCCGAAACCGGGGGATCGATGCTTAGCACACAGACAAACATTACCGGGCATTGTGGCAGAATCAGCGTCTTCGGTGCCTAGTATGTCTTGCAATTGCAAAAGTCTTCAGAGTCGACAGTCTTAGCGTGAGGTCTGGAGGGGGTGTGGCCAAAATCCTTAGGCTCGTGTCAAGTGGTTCGTGCGTCCGAATGTAGACCGCCATCCAAGCAGACCTCCGACGGCGGGCAGGGGATGCTGGCCAGGTTTGTGGGAACGACTTTTTTGACTCTTTGAGACGGGGCCGATAGGATTGGAGAGAGGCGGGGTGGCGGTCATTTGGGTAGCGGCAAATGTCGAGAATCTCGCAGAGGCTGGGCTTTGTCCTGGAAAGGATTCCATGGACGAAAGGATTCCAGGCGAAAACTAGCGTTTGACATTGTGTGGAGAGGGCTGAAAAAGCTTTCGGGATGTGGTGATTGTGGGCACTCATAAACCAGGGAAGCTGACAGAGAACATGGAACCGGGGATGAGGGATAGAGGACAAGGTGCAGGGGAGAGAGAATTTGAAGGGGGCTTGAATTCCGGTTTTGCAATTTGGGTGGATTTGTAGTCTCTTTATAGACGACGGTCGCCCGTGAGGCGGAATCCACCTTCTACCCACCGCAGAAAATCTCGGCCAGCTCCTGCAATCCAGGCCACTGCATCCAAGACGCGAGACGACACCAGTTTCACAACCACGGGCTGTAGTTCACCGGCAACAATTCCAACTACCCTCGCCAATGACCTTTGCGACGTATGCCCACACTAGTCGTTAGCCCTCTCTCCATTCAGTAGGTGACGGTATGATCGTGGCATGGTTCTCGCGGTTACAGTCCAGCATTGGCCGCATGATGCAGTATCGACCGATATTTTCGCTATTGGCTCGCATCGACGTGGTATGCTTTCGACATTCACTGCTTGGGTGCGGAGAGACCGGAGAGGCCAACGATGACGACAGATGGGAGGTCGAGGCATTCGCGAACAAGCGGCCGAGAGTAGATCTGCGACGCCAAGGGCTGTGCAATGTAACCTCAGGTGGGGCCTGAGATAGGGCGAATGAAGCAGAGCATGCAGCATCAAGGAGGGCAATTCGGGAGACTTCGCAACAAGGGAAGTCATCGGAATAACAGACACCCAACCACGAGGCCTCACCAGCAGAAAGAAATCAATCTAGATGTCTTTGTAGAGTTCTTTGGAAAATGGAGTATTGACACACAATCATGCGATGCGGTGGATGGCTTGATCACCCTAGTGTTCCTGCTTCTGAGCGACTGGATAGCATTGCAGCCCACGCTGGTCAGAACGACCAGATCGAGCGGCATCTCCGGGAAAATGAAAGGGGCAGTGCGTCGGGCTGAAATGTGCAGTAGTCAGTGGGGGCCAGAGAAAAGGAAAGGGGGCGGCGACGAGTGCAAGATAGAGAGGTAGGAAGAATGAAAAAGTGAGAGGGGGTGGATGAGCAGCGAAGACGGGTCTTTTATGTCGGAGGGCATTGAAGGGAGGTTACGTGACGGTGTATTAGGGCGCTAAACTAAAAGAGGTAAAACTAACCGGATACAGTAATTCACAGGTCCGCCGTTTACAATACTGGAAGACGCGCGCGTTGCACGCATCGGCCCTGAAACGAAAACCAGGGGGAATAGGAATTGGAAGCGCAAAGCAGCGTTGAAGTGGAAATGCGACTGAAATCCAAATGAGCCAATGAAAAAAGAGCTCCCGGATGACTAATATCCGCAACACGAGAGATGACGTAAGTATTCGAATCCTTAGCCGCATTTTTATTTGGACAGTGCAAGTATATCGGCGTATGAAGTCTTTTTTTTTTTTTTTTTTTGCCTTTGTGAACGCCTCTTCGGATTTGGTGTACTTGCTTGTGGTGAGCTCTCGGTTTCATCCAATGTGTAAGCGCACGTAATCTGAGTGCTTTCCTCATCTTTGTCAAAAGGAGTATTCGCTCTGATGGGCTTTGCAAGCTGGGGGTCATGAGATGATAGGGATTTGGGCGGTGTTGTTGGTCCAACCCTTTGGGACCAGCGATCAACGCGTTTCCTTTTCCCGGTTGCAGAAGAAGGGGTTGGCGGAAGACTACTTGTTGATGTTGGTAGGAAATGTATGTCATCAGCCACGACAGCTAACTGGCGATCCTCTTTTGTGAGGCCAAAAATACGACCCGTCACAAACACATAGGCGTTCGCATTGAGTGGTGGGAACTTTGCCCAACGCTGCCCGTTCTTCAAGAAAGCGGTGATGTGAAACGTATGAGGGGTACGAGTTGATGGGTTGTAATAGTCGTTTGAAGACGATAGTGAAGTAAATTCCGTCCCTCGTTCAATTGTCGTCTTCGTTCAAGGACGATTCCGAGAAAAGTCACTATGGGCTGGGCAGCACCGGGACAGTGCATAGAATATGAATCTGTATCTTCTTGATTACCCGGATGGCTGCATGGTGTTAGCAAAGTACTTTGGTTCACATGATATACATGTACCGACCGGTCCAAACTATGAGCGTGCAGTATTATGTGGAACCCGCCATCTTCAGATGAGGTAGTCAAAAAGGGACCAGACGATTAGACGAAAGTATTGGGTTGGTAAATATCAGATTGTTTACCCTCGTTGAAAAATCTAACGAGAGTAGAGATCTCCTTTGATTCAACATCATCTGATTCGATATCTTTGAACGGGATGTTAAGTGAAACACGTAGCTGCATCGAGAGCGCTTTACCCGGACGCGTTGGATCTGGTTCAACGTGTTCGACGAAATCACGTACGTGGAGAATAGCAGGAAAAGATTTATTCGACAGCATATTGTAAATAGAAAGTCAAGCGTGGTGAAAACAAAAAATTGCGACGAAATACAACCAGAAAGTCACGCAGAAGGTAGAGCGGGGTAATAACTCATTTATTTGCTCTGAAAAATGTGTGCTGGTCGAGGTACTTACCCGGCGCAAGCTACAGTCTCCAGATACGAGCCAAAATGTGATATATCTCAAAGTTTAACCGGTTGTGCAAAAAGTTGGTGCATCTAGTATGCGAGACTACAGCCTACAAATATAAAGGGCGTGTGTCAAAGAATGATAGGATGGATCTGCTATTCATTCGCAAGGATTGGTCTGCCATGCACGAAGGGTCTCTTGTTGCAGCAAATCTAGCCTTTGCATTTCTTCCAGTAAATGGGGGTCAGGTCTCTGCTCGATGTCACTCATGCCAATGGGCTGCAAGAGGTGAAGACCACCCAGTGATCGCAGACGCGATAGCTGTACGTATGTTGAACAGTATTTTCGGTGGGAGTCGTGTCGCCGATTCTTGCGATCGTTTTTCAAATCCAGAATGGCAGAATCGAGGGTGGCACCCTGAATCTTGTAGTCAGTGAGACAAAATGCTGGACAGACGGGGATTTGTTTTCGTCGGACTGAATAGCCTTTCACAGTGATAGACATCTCGAGCGGAAAGATAGGCAAGGATCCGTCTTCGAGATAGGAATAGTTTGCCTGTGTGCGAGCAGGTTTGAAAAGAAGACAAAGTGGTGGTCTAGTACAAAAGATGTATTGGTCGTCCAGTTCTACGAATTCCGCTGATCGCACGTGGATCGCTTCAGAATGGTGAAAATATATATTCGTATTGGTGACTTACCTTCGGGGTCAACGGCGACGCCTGCCGCTTGGCCTGTGGCACCATTTACTAGGCCGGCCGGCGTGCAAATATTGGTTAACACCATTGTCGGCATGGCAAGAGTGTAGAGAATGAGCCCAGGAAATGGGATCTTGGCGCCTTGCTCCGGCAAACCCAGCAAGTCATCGGCTCGCAAGCGAAGGGGGGTCGGGCCTGAGGATTTTGTTCGAGTGTGGAGGGCCGGGAAAACGAAGATTTTCTGATGTCTGGCGCGAGCAAAACGTTCGATTTGGAGGCGATTTACGACATGGCGCAGCGAATTTAATTTGACGATGGCCGGTGATGTTTGCAATTGAGGATCGGTGAGCGAAGAAATGGCTTTTGAATTAAGCGTCGCCAAGTCGTCGGAGGTCAGTGTACCAGACCTCGCTCGACCTAGCAAACATCTATATGATATATCCTCGGCCTGGCGCATCTGTTCATCGAGAATGACAACCTGTTTAAACTGGTCCCAGATCAACTTACCGTCCTCTTCCATCTCGTTCCTGGGAAATCTCCATAAGGGCTGGCCCTGGACTGGAGGAAACTGATGGAAATCCCCCATGAGAATCACTATCGGCAAACCACCAAACAGATCGGCCGATGATCGATCTAGGGATCGAGCGACTTTACAATGTGTATTGATAATGCTCAATGCGGCCAGGTCGACCATGCTGATCTCATCTATGATCATGACGGTTTTCCGAGACCATAGTCTGCGAACCCGAGGACTAACTCCACCCCGCCTGTATCGGTTGAGCGAAATGCCAAGAGAGGTATGGTACGTGCTGCCTCCGATGGCATCAGCGGCTGCCCCGGTGGGAGCCATAAGGATGACCTCTTGCCTGCGGTAAATCAGGTCCATCGCTGCAACAATCGCCTTGATAATCTGGCTTTTCCCCACCCCGCCTTCGCCTCCTACGTAAAGGAGAGTCTGGTTACGCAGAGAAGAGTCGTACGGGTTGGCAGCACAGATGAGAAGATCTGATATAACCTTCTCCACGACAAGCCGTTGTTTTTTGTTCAGCGGAATATCATGGCATATAACAGACGTTATGGAGGCGCCCGTTGGATTTTGGGCTATAGCGGCACGATGGTGATGCACATCACCCGAAAAACCCGAATCAGTCAATGTGGGGACCAGAACTTCATCAGTCAGTCCAATATTGAAGTCGTCAAGGTCAGAAGTAAGCGGAAAGGGCGATCCAGCCTGTATGTCTTGGTCTGAGGTGTTGGTCATGTTTTGAAGCCCTGTTTTCAATTCTTGTAGGGTGGACGAAGAGAGAAGTTGAAAGCCGGTGGATTCGTATAGAGTTCTGCTTGACATATCGATTGGTCCAAAATTTTCAAATCGAAGGGGTGAAGGAGGCAAAGCTCGTGAGATGA